AGGAATATTGTAGATTTGAATGCTAGCAAGAAACTATCGAATAAAATTTAGAAAAATGAGATGTATGTTACTGATGTATTTAGGGTTTAAGAGAATTTCTTAAGCTTATATCTTATAATGTCTTAATTTATAATTTATAACGTATGAAATCATAAAAGTTTATGGTATTTTATATTGGACATAAAAAATTAATCATATCAAAATTTTCTTGCTAGCTTTATTATGAATTTTCAAAAAATTGGTAAAAAGGAAAATAATTGTTCATTTAAATTTTCAATCGAATAATTAGGTTTCATAGCATCTTGAGGAACGAAGAAATTTAAGGGTTCATATTCTTCTGGTAGGCGGAAATCAGAAAGTTCAATTGGAAAATAAAACGAATCTAGCGATCCATTCATTTCTGGTGTTAACTCGATATTTGGGGTACTAATTTCAATATCTAAAAATGCATCACATTGAGCTTCAATAGCAACTTGATTAGTGTTGTTGTCGTAATTCTCGAGGAAATCTTCCCAAATAAAAACATTTTGTTCGTCGTTCTTTTCTTTGTTCGGATCAACATAAAAGTTGAAAAGTTGCTCCCATTCAGTTTCATTGTCAATTTCTGGTGCAGGAGTAGATGGCTCAGAAATCATTAACGACTCTTTATTCGCAGTTAATGGTGTAGTTTGTTCCGGTGTAGATTTATTTCTTGGCTTAATTGGATATACACGCCATCTTTTCGATTCTTTTATTTTAGGTGTTTTTGGAAACAATAAATCATGATTTTTCTTTGCTTCTTTGGCAATCTTCTTGTATTCTTCTTTGATAAAAGGCAATTCTTGTCCCCAGGCTTGCGAGGCCATCGAAGAAATAACAGTCATTGGGAGTTTATATCCATTAGCTAGAGCCGACTTTACAAATGCCCTTCGATAAAGGATGAATGCATTGGGTGGCTTGGTAGGATTAGTTCCATCTGATTTCTTGCCGAAAATGTCGTCGGCTTCAAGTGCTGGTGGGAAAGGAGGTCTAAATATTAGACTGGTATCACTGTGTGTAATCGTCTGTTTCGGGTTAGCCGGGTTACTTGACTCGATAAAAACAAATGGACGAGTAGTAATGCTAGGGTTATTACTATCATTGAAATTTACGGTAGTAATTTCGTTAACAATTTCGCTAATTGATGAATTCATTTTCTTGATCTATTCGAGATTTTTACCTTGAATTGGTGAAGATAATGATTTACCAGCCACTGTATTTATGTGCACATCGAATGCCGATCTTATACGAATTTATTTTGATTTGATTTCAAATCGTCTGATTCTGCATAGAACCCAAAAATTTGATCATTGTTATCTTTTACGTAGTGCAAAGTGCACATTCTAGCCACAGTTTCCAGCCAAATTATGTCGCTCTTGATTAATAATACTTTCCGTGTTAGAGTCGATGTCAAAAATTTTAGCAACGATTTATGCCACTAAAAAATAGAAAAAGGTAGAAATTATAAATTTACACTTATAATTACTACTCTGTCACTCCTTCTTACAAAAATTTATTAAAAGACGATAAATCAATCAATTATAATTTGCTCATTACAAATTTCTTCATCGCTATAACTCAGAATTTGACAAAATTATTACATGTATTATTAATCTATCAAAAACCGACAACCGAATGCTCTATTTTCATTCTCTTCGTAGATACACATACCGATATGCAACTACTGTATAAACGAAGCACAAATATAGCTTATGGAAATTTTAGGGGATGTATAGATTTCTTTTTTTGGTGAATGGTCATGTATTACAAGGTTTAACAACATTAGAATTAGTGTTAGCGAATTTGCTAACAGAAAAATAACGCTAATATTGCATACCGATACTAATTTACAGTTTCCCGGCAGCGGAAAATGTGGGAGTTATACATGTACATTGTAAGAGGAAGATCATCATTGTCCACGCTAATCAAGTAAATACAGTAAAAGTTATAAAATCGCAGATTGATATTTCAATTAAAATATGAATAATATTTGTTTTTTTGATAATTTTTACATTTAGTGCACACCACAGTTTTAAAAAGTCAAATGGCTAGCGCTATTTTTTTTTTAAAAAAAAATAGTCTGTATCTCGAAATTTTGCTTATAAAACTGCCTTTCATGATCCAACAAAAAATGTTCATTGCGAAATTTTGATATATAAATGCTTTATGCTGTATAACCTTAACCCTAACTGAAACTTTACAGCAGCGACGAATACAGCTCTCGTATAATAATTATAGTTTTTGTAATTATAGAAGTTATTCGTACCCTAACGCTAAGGGTACATTTATATTAATCCTTTAAATATTTTTTTGCAAAAATTAGTAAAATCCTAAAGTCGCTGAACAATTTAAATAAGTCCTGTTAAATAAAATCATTTCATGACATAAAAATGATATTGATCAAATATAAATTAAAACGATTCATTTTATTACATTATTTTTGAAGTAGAAGCAGAAAAATTTATTATTAACAATCTTTTATCATTCTAAATGAATATCTATAAAAATATAAAATATTTACAATTTCAAGATTTATGCTAGTGGGAAATAGAAAGGTAGTGTTATTTATATTTATATAAATGCTTAAAATATTTCTTAGAACTTATTAATCTTAATCTTAATCTTAATCTTAATCTAAAAATAACTTAAAATATGGAGGTATTTCTTATATGACATAAAATTATTTGTGGCATAATTTCACACTAGCTTTAATGTGACGTTTTAAAAAATTGGTAAAAGGGAAAATAATTGTTCATTTAAATTTTCAATCGAATAATTAGGTTTCATAAAATTTTGATGATAAATATTATCTTCTTGATGAATGAAGAAATCTAATGGTTCATATTCTTCTGGTAGGCAGAAATCAGAAAGTTCAATTGGAGAACAAAACGAGTCTAGAGATTCATTCATTTCTGGTGTTAATTCAATATTTGGGGTACCAATTTCAACATCTAAAAATGTATCACATTGAGCTTCAATATCAACTTGATTAGTGTTGTCGTAATTCTCGAGGAAATCTTCCCAAATAAAAACATTTTGTTCGTTATTCTTTTCTTTGTTCGGATCAACGTAAAAGTTGAAAAGTTGCTCCCATTCATTTTCATTGTCAATCTCAGGTGCAGGAGTAGATAGCTCAGAAATCATTAACGACTCTTTATTCGCAGTTAATGGTGTAGTTTGTTCTGGTGTAGATTTATTTCTTGGTTTAGTTGGATATACACGCCATCTTTTCGATTCTTTTATTTTAGGTGTTTTTGGAAACAATAAATCATGATTTTTCTTTGCCTCTTTGGCAATCCTCTTGTATTCATCCTTGACAAAAGGCAATTCTTGCCCCCAGGCTTGCGAGGCCATCGAAGAAATAACAGTCATCGGGAGTTTATATCCATTAGCTAGAGCCGACTTTACAAATGCCCTTCGATAAAGGATGAATGCATTGGGTGGCTTGGTAGGATTAGTTCCATCTGATTTCTTGCCGAAAATGTCGTCGGCTTCAAGTGCTGGTGGGAAAGGAGGTCTAAATATTAGACTGGTATCACTGTGTGTAATCGTCTGTTTCGGGTTAGCCGGGTTACTTGACTCGATAAAAACAAATGGACGAGTAGTAATGCTAGGGTTATTACTATCATTGAAATTTACGGTAGTAATTTCGTTAACAATTTCGCTAATTGATGAATTCATTTTCTTGATCTATTTGAGATTGAATTTATTTGATACAGTATCTAAATTTTTTGAATTACCAGCCATCGTATTTATGTACAGATCGAATGTCGATCTTATCGATTCATTTTTTTGATTTCAAATCTCTAAATTCTGTATAGAACACAAAATTTGATCATTGTTTTACGTAATGCATAACGATAATGTAACATACTCTAGCCACAATTATGTTGCACTGCTTTGCATATTGATTTATAATGCTTTCCATAATTAACATTAAAGTAGACGTCAAAACTTTAACAATTTAATTTAATTTATCGTTATGCTGCTAAACAGATAGGAAAGATAGAAATTATAAGTTTATACCTCTAATTACCAGTGTTGTCAATTTTTGCTCCCAGTAGACTTTTATGACAACTAAAAGTCCATTGGAACATTCAATTTGATATTAGTTTTGCTTCCAATGAACTTCCGAGCGCTTCCATTGGCAACACTGATAATTACTACGCTGGTACATAGAATTCACTAAAAGACTATAATTATAATTTAGTTCATTGCAAATTTAAATTTTTTCTTTGCTTTAACTCGAATTTTATCAGCATTTTTATTATTATTAATCTTTATCAAAACCGAACAACAATAGAATGATCTATTTTTTATTCTCTTCGTATGCAGCCATACACGTGCATAAACAAGATGCATAACTTAGTATGGAAAGTTTAGGGGATATCGATTTCTTTTTTTGTGGTCATGTATTACAAGGATTATTATTTTTTTTCAATTCTGAATTTACCAATTCATTTGAACAGAAACTAATATTGCATACTAATTTGCAGTTTGAAATATAAAAAATATTCTAGTTATGAATATATTCTTTTCTTTTAGTTAATAATTTCACATTTACAGTGCACATCATTGAAGTGAAAAACAAAAAATTCATTATACAGTAAATCGCAAAAGTATCTCACCACCCCCCCCAACTAACTTTCCGTAAATCATGTGAATGTACCAAAATCTTCTGAGCACAAGAACAACACAAATACTGATCATCTACGTCTTTTATAGGCAGGTAAACTTAATATCGATCATCGGATGTCCATCAAACTTTCGCGACTCAAATGCAGTCGATCGCTTTATGACGTATATCTCGAAGTTCAGTGATCCGATTCTTGATATCCAGCGGTACGATTTAAGCAAAAAATGCTATATATCACTCGATTTGCCTAGTTGAGACGAATCGAGTGGTAATATTTTTGATTGAATTTGATCACGGGATGTCGGAATATTGCGTCCTAAAGTGATCAATTATTTTTTTAATATCGACAAAAATGAATCAGTCACACTTTATGATGCAACATCTCGACATTTAGTGATCTGATATTAGCGAAAATACATGTACTACTATTCGATTCGTCTATTCGATTCGTCTAGTCGAGACAAATTGAATGGGAGTATTTCCGCTCGAATCGGATCACAGAACGTCGAGATATTGCATCATCATAAAGTGACGATTTATTATATTTACCGTTACGGTATAGAGATTTGATGAACATCAAATTCCTGATATAAAAGTTTACCAGCCTATAAAAGACGTAGATGATCAGTGTTTGTGTTGTTCTTGTGCTCAGAAAATTTTGGTATATTTTACGGAAAGTTAGTGGGGTGGGATACTTTTGCGGTTTACTGCACTATTAAATAAAAGAAGAATCTTTTATTATTTTACAAGGAAAATTCTCTTTATTTATGATGTGCACTGTATGTGATATATACACGAATGAGTATCTATAAAATATTTACAATTTAAGGTTTATACTAGTGAGAAATAGAAAGGTCGTGTTGCTATTTGTAAATGCTTAAAATTATCTCTTAATGTTAATCTTAAAATACCTTAAATTATGAAAGTATTTCTTATATAACATAAAATTGTTTGTGGCATAATTTCACGCTAGCTTTAAGAATTGTTCATCTAAATTTTCAATCGAATAATTAAGTTTCATAGAAGAACAAAGAAGTCTAATGGTTCATATTCTTCTGGTAGGCAGAAATCAGGTAGTTCAATTGGAGAACAAAACGAGTCTAGAGATTCATTTATTTGATGTTGCTCCTCCAAATGATTTAAATATATTTCTGGTGTTAACTCGATATTTGGGGTACTAATTTCAATATCTAAAAATGCATCACATTGAGCCTCAATATCAACTTGATTAGTGTTGTCGTAATTCTCGAGGAAATCTTTCCAAATAAAAACATTTTGTTTGTCGTTCTTTTCTTTGTTCGGATCAACATAAAGGTTGAAAAGTTGCTCCCATTCATTTTCATTGTCAATTTTTGGTGCAGGCGTAGATGGCTCAGAAATCATTAACGACAATTTATTCGCAGTTAATGGTGTAGTTGGTTCTGGTGTGGATTTACTTCTTGGCTTAATTGGATATACACGCCATCTTTTGGATTCTTTTATTTTAGGTGTTTTTGGAAACAATAAGTCATGATTTTTCTTTGCCTCTTTGGCAATCTTCTTGTATTCATCCTTGACAAAAGGCAATTCTTGTCCCCAGGCTTGCGAGGCCATCGTAGAAATAACAGTCATTGGGAGTTTATATCCGTTAACTAGAGCAGACTTTACAAATGCCCTTCGATAAAGGATGAATGCATTAGGTGGCTTGGTAGGATTAGTTCCATCCGGTTTCTTGCCGAAAATGTCGTCGGCTTCAAGTGCTGGTGGGAAAGGAGGTCTAAATGTTAGACTGATATCACTGTGTGTAATCGTCTGTTTCGGGTTAACCGGGCTACTTGACTCAATAAAGACAATGGGACGAGTAGTAATGCTAAGGTTATTACTATCATTGAAATTTATGGTAGTAATTTCGCTAACTGATGAATTCATT